GGGAGAGTGCACTGGACTGTCAGAGGACCTGGGTTCAAATCTTATTTCTGTTACTACCTGTATGACCTGAGGAAAGTCACTTCACTTCACTGGCCTCAGTTTCCTCATCTAAAAAATTATATTAGCTACTGTCTGAGGGTCCTTTCAGCACTAGATCTATGACTACCATGCAACGACTATTTTATTTTTATTACATATTTAAAAATTTAATGTAATGTTATTAAAGCTAATAAATTCTCAATGGTATCTGAATAAATTGTGAGCTAATAAAATTATTTGCATATATTGTTTTATGAGAAGTGGAGACAAGGTGACGATATTCTGGAAGAAAGGAGGAAGAGAATCACCAACACTTGGAAATCCCAGCCTTAAGCAATTCCATTCAAATATGTAATAGAGAGGCGCTGAACAGGGCAGAAAGCAAGCCCTGGAATCTTTGAGATCAGAATGCAAATCCTTCCTCTGACTCCGCCTCTGAGACTCTGGCTGGATGACCTTGGACAAGTCATGCACCCTCTTGGTGCCCCAGGGAACTCTCTAAGATGATAAATCACAGCAAAGTCGCCTATCTGCATGGTAGGATTTCTCTCTGGGAGTTCCTTACACCAGTGACATCACACAGCCGTTTGATGGGTTCTCCATATTATAGAGATTCCATTTACCCTTCTGGCTGACAGCCAAGAACTCTCAATCTGAAATAATCCATCAATTACTAAAAATTGAAAAAGACCCCTGGGAAAAATCACTTGGCACCAGAACAGTTTAGAATCTGCCCTGAAGGGTGGACTTCAATCTTTCCTAAATAATTTAATTTAATTAAACTCTAGTTGGTGATGGACTCTAGATGCAAAAGGGGAAATATAGAAGGGTTTTGTTTTTCTTTTTCCAATGGGGAAAGAGTAGGTGAGAAGGAGAGAAAATGTATTTTTTTGTTCACTGAAAAATAAATAAAATTAAATAAAGCCTAAGAAAAATATAGTCAGAGTTTGCTTAGGAGTGGCACCAAGCGTGGTTCAACCCATATTTAAAAAGAAAAGTAAATGTTTCCCCTAAATTTATAGATAGATCAGTCTATTTGATGTCCTTCTGAAACCTGATGAAGGCTTTCTGGGCAACCAACTGAAGGAGGACTTCCTTCAAAACTATTATGTGATAAGCAAGAAGGCTTCAGGCAGACTTACTACATCATTAATCCCATCGTTCTACCCGGATTTTCTCATCGAGAAAACAGTTTAGGACACTTAGGACTATTGGCAACATGCATTAATATTTCTTCAGTCTTTGATTTCAGAGAGGAGCCACCAATCAGTCAAACAATGCACTCCTGAGATGGGCTGGGGGCCATTAACGTATCTTAAGGGCCTGTGGTCATCTTGCTGCTGAAATTAAGGAAACTGCCACTCCCTTCCTTGATGGCATCCAAAAGACCTACATTCCAACCTTCCTCTTTTTAATTTAGATCCAAACCATGGGGGAATGCACTGCACCTGGAGATGCACCCTCCTCACCACTGACCCCAAGGCTTTATTGTGCATAATGAATAGGCTTAAACAGCGGCTAGTGACCATCAGAAGGGATACGTCTGGGTCAATTATGCCAAACACAAAACTGTTACATCCAGTAAAGATTCTCTGACATTTTGATAAATGATGCTAAATAAACCCATCCCACAAGTCAGTTCATTTACCTAGGCAGTGGTGTGTCATAGAGCTGACTTTCCACTCAGTCCCATGAGGAGAGAGCCCACCTGCCTTAAAATCAGACACCCCACAGCCAGTCTTTTCAGAGAGATTCTTTCACCACCGCTATTCCAGAACTCTTGCCCTACACATCCGTCCAGGCTGCCGTGGTGCTCCATGGCACGGAACTCAAGGTTCTTGGCCAAACTTCGTACAAATGCTTGAGAAAATTCCTGAGGAAAATATGTGCCCTGCTTCAGCAAGCCTGCCAGCTGTCCACAGAGGTCCTGAAGCATGCTGGGCCTCTGCATGGAAGCTCTAAAATGTTCACAGCAAAGAGACAGCTGGGCCCACCTAAAAACTTGGCTCTTTCAATACAAATACGGAAGACCCAGAGTCATTCACTAAGAGATGAGTGGTCAGAGGATATGAACAGTCAGTTTTCAAAAGAAGAAATGCCAATACCCACAAATAGCAGGGAATCCCTAATAATAAGAAAAAGGTAAATTTAAACAACTCTGAAGTTTGACCTCAGCCCTCCAAAGTAGCAAAGACGTTAACAGACAGAAATCATCAACACTGTGGGAAAACAAACACACTAATACACTGTGGGTAAAAGTGTGAACTGAAACATTCTGGGAAAGCAAAACCAAATTTCATGAGGAAAATTGTACATGCCCTTGACTCAGCAATCCCACTGCTGGGAATATACCTGAAGTAGGTCAGAAACAGAAGAAAAGGCCCCCCACACATCATAACATGCACAACACAATTTTTGTCATCACCAAAAATGGGAAATAAAGTGGGTGCCCGTGGGGTGGGGAGTGGCTAAGCAATAGATGGTATATGAATTTAATAAAATCGTATTACGTTTAAGAAATAACTACTGCGAGGGATTCATAAACACATGGGAAGCTTTTAATGGGTTCCTGCAGAACAAAGTTAATAGAGTCCCGAGATCAATAAACGTGGTGACTCCAGTGACGTAAAACCATCAAAAGGCAGCTGAAGGAACCCTGATTCCCAATCTTGGTCCCAGAGAACTGACAACGGAAAATACCTCCCTCTTCTAAGAAGAAAGAAGTGGGGGACTACTGATGTGGAACGTGGCATGCACTTTCAGACACTGTGATTTTGTCTGTGGATTTTGTTTAAATGTTTTTCTTTGTCACAAGGCATGGTTAAATGGTACGGAGAAGTTAAAAGGAAATGATGTAAAAAAAGATGCCCCAAAAAAAAAAAGCCTGGCTCTAACTTTCATGGAATCTCTGCATTATAGGCACTTGTAGAGAATTCCATCTTACATACAATCTAACACCAATAAATGGCTCAGTAAAGCATTTGATGTCTCCTGGATAGATTAAATGTTTCTTCTTCTAGACTCTTTTTTTTCACTTTCAGTTTTATCAATTTTTTTCCATTACAGATATTTACAGCTCATTCCCATTTATTTCATGAGATGGCTCTTAAAACAAAGTAAAATAATTAAGTAAAATTAATAACACAGTGGCCTCATCTGAAAGTGCACGCAATACTCCATATCTGTAGCAATCCCCTACATCTTATTTAAAAAATGAACAGAATTCAGTTTTCTCTCCATCCCACCCTCTGCCCCGTTGAAAGAAAGAAAGAAAGAAAGAAAGAAAGAAAGAAAGAAAGAAAGAAAGGAAGGAAGGAAGGAAGGAAGGAAGGAAGGAAGGAAGGAAGGAAGGAAGGAAGGAAGGAAGGAGGGAGGGAGGGAGGAGGGAGGGAGGGAGGGAAGGAAGGAAGGAGAGAGAGGGAAAGAGAGGGGAAAGAAAGAAAGAAAGAAAGAAAGAAAGAAAGAAAGAAAGAAAGAAAGAAAGAAAGAAAGAAAGAAAGAAAGAGGAAGAGAGAGGGAAGGAGAGGGGAAAGGAAGGGAGGAAGGGAGGAAGGAAGGAAGGAAGGAAGGAAGGAAGGAAGGAAGGAAGGAAGGAAGGAAGGAAGGAAGGAAGGAAGGAAGGGAAGAGAGAGGGAAGGAGAGGGGAAAGGAAGGAAGGAAGGAAGGAAGAGGAGGGAGGGAGGGAGGAAGGGAAAACCAGAAAAATTCACATTCCTTATAACAAATATGTAGAGTCAAGAAAAACCAACTCTCCCTGTGGCTGTACACAAGAATAACCACACTGCTTTGCATCCTGCATCTATCAGCTCTCCGTCGTGGACGGCATGTTTCATCCTCAGTCTTCTCAGATCATGAATGGGCCTTTTGATCACAGTTCATACAATTGTCTCAGTGTAGCTGTTGAATAAATTGCTCATTTCATTTTATATTAATCTACAAAAGTCCTCAAAATTGTTCACGTTTGTAATCTTGATGTTATAGTATAGACTGATCTCCTAAGTCTGCTCACTTTTCTCGGCACCAGCTCACCTAAGTGTCTCCGTGTGTCTCTGAAATCACCCATTCCCTTATTTCTTACAGCACCATCGCACTCCCTCACATTCACACCCCACAACGTATTCAGCCATTCTTTAATTGTCAGACTTCCTCTTAGCTTCCAATTTTTTGCCTTAAATGTTGTCTAGATTCTCTGAGCAGTCTCCCTATATCATCACATTACTAAAAGGTAAATTCCCAGGACTCTAGGATGTCAGCACAGCAGAGAAAAATATTCACAAAGCAAGAATCCAATGCCTTCACTCCTCCTAAGGAATAGAAAGATGCATCCATTCGAACAGTGTACTATGTTACCCAATGTTCTTTACACAAGGACCAACCTATTCTTCCTTCACTTTAGAACTGAGAGAAAGGCTCTCTAAGGCCAAATGTGCATACTCTTTTCATGGAATTCAACGTTTCCCTTTTTTCTTAAACTTCCAAATACAGTGCCCAAAAGTAGCCAAAGGCAAGCACCTGAAAACTATCCTCTCCTGCTTTCCTTTCAGAGACTTAATCTTTATTTTATCTTATCACTTTGGCACGTAGGTAGCACAGTGGATAGAGTGCTGGGCCTGGGGTCAGGAAAACTCATCTTCCTGAGTTCAAATCCAGCGTCAGACACTTACTAGCTGTGTGACCCTGGGCAAGTCACTTCACCCTGCTGGCCTCAGTTTCCTCATCCATAAAATGAGTTGGAGAAGGAAATAGCAAACTATTATAGCATCTTTGCCAAGAAAACCCTAAATGGGGTCATGAAGAATCAGACATGACTGGAAACGACTGAACTGTTGCTCAACATCTTATTACCAATTGCTCTAGCATATAAAATGTTTGATTCCGTAAACTGCCCTAAAACCAAGTGGCAGAAGTCAGGGTACACATCCTCCATGCTCCCACTCCCTTGTCTTCTTAGTCAGCCTTACCTGCATATAAGTCTGTTCTTCACCAATGCTGTAAAGATCTCTTCAAACAGTTTATGTTGTGGATGTTTGCTAAAATTTCTTTCATTCTTATAGTTTATGCTGAAGCAAAACAAAGAGAAAAACGTCTTAAATGTTCATCTGCAGTGTCTTTGAAGGAATGTATCACAGCACAAAATCCAAAGGAATCTCGCTCTTAATAGGCCACAGGTAACAATTTGGGTGAACATCTATTACCTGGACAAAGGATAACTGACCATGCAATGACCAAATACCATTCCATTCCCTACAGTATTCTTTACTGAATTTAATCAATGCTTTGCCTCTTTCCTAGAACAAAATTTAGCTTCTAAAAATGGCGGGAGGGAAGGGATGGAGGAAGGGATTAGTGGGTGGCATTGCTTCAGCCACTCAGAATCCTAACACTGTTCTGTCCTTCGACAGAATTTGCACCTGCCTGGCTTGGCGGCTCCAGCTATGCCCCTACCTCTTCCTTTAAAAACAGGGCTCCATTAGCTCCAGTTCACACCTCTTGAAAGGACTCATAACAAGCCTACCAGGGTCAGAATTGTGGGTGACTTACAGTCACTGAACTACTTTAATTTGTCACAGGGGAAATTATAGAAAGAAGACATATTTCAAAGTTCTATGAAAATGTGAAAAAGAAGAAATTAAGTGGGGGAGAACAGTGGCGAGAGGAGGGGAAAGGCTTCAGGGAAAAATCTATGGTTTTACCCTGTGGGCATCAAAAGAAGAAAGGAACTTTAGTACTCAGGGAGGACACGGTCATTCCAAGGACAGAGGAAATCAAGAAATAGGAGACGATACAGAGATGGTTCAGGGGCACGTAGGTGGTGTGATGGACAGAGGGTTGGGCCTGGTGTCAGGAAGACTTGAGTTCAAATCCAGCCTCAGATACTTAATAGCTATGTGATCCTGGGCAAGTCACTTAATCTCACTTTGTCTGCCTCAGTTTTCTCAACTTCAAAATGGAGATAACAACAGCACCCACTTCACAGGGCTACTGTGAGGATCAAGTAAGATATCTGTGAAATGCTTAGCACGGCACCAAACATGTAGCAGGTGCTTAGTAAACACTTATCCTCTTCCCCTAGGAAAAGAAGAGAACCTGAGAACAGTTATAAGATCATATCTCTAGAGGTGAAAAAAGGCCTTTAGAAGACATAGAATCCACTCCCCTCATTTCCTAGTTCTAATTTCACTACAAAGAAAAGGATATGGAGGAATTTTGGACCATGGAATTAACCACTGTGTGGGGTTTGGAAGTCAACTAGGCTAACACCTTCATTTTACACACTTACAGGCAAGGAAACTGAGGCCTAGAGAAGGAAAGGTCTTGTTTAATTCATATGGAACCCAAATACCAGGCTTCTTGGCCAAAATCCAAGGTTCCAACAAAGTACCATAAAACACTTCTCTTCTAATAATCTTAAGATGTCATCTTATATTCGGTAAGGAATGGGAGGCCATTACCAGTTTTCTGAATATGGAGGGTACTAGAAAGATTACTTGGAAGTTGCCAAGATATAGATTTCAGTTAATTAAAGCTGCCTGCCCACAAGTCCCAGAGGCTGGCTCAGGAAGTAATGGGTTCTCCATCACTGGAGGTCTTCATATCGAGCCTTGATCATTACCTGTTGGAGATGCTGTACAGGGGCCTTCTGCTCCGATCTGGGTGGTTTGAGGGGGCCCCCTTCCAACTAGGAGGGTCTCGAATTCCATGAAATACAGGAAGGGAGTTGTGGGGAAAACTTAGTATAGAAGAAACAGATCTGGGAGTCATTGGAATCAACAGAAGTCAGTGAAAACCTCGGCAACAGAAGATACCCAAGTTCAAGGGTGGAAGGAAGATGAGGAGCTAGAACAATGACCATAATAACAGCTTTGGTATCACAAGAGAAAACAGTGTCGAGGGGTGGGAGCGGAGAGTTGCTGGTTATCCAATGAGGATGAGCCATCATGGAGGCTGAGGACTGGGCAATAAGGATATCTGTGCTTTAATGGTATGGCGCAAAAACTCCCATGAAGTCAGGGATGAGATCTTCATCTCAGTTTTGTATTGAGATCAGTGCGCAGCACAGTGCCCGCAACACAATCAACAAACATTTGTGAAATGAACACTTTGCCTGCCTCCATGATGACCCACTCCCTAAATGCCAGAGTCAAAGGCAAACCACGGTGAATTTTCCTATACTTAGCTTTGCCCATCAACTATTAACAACTTTAAGACTAAGATGGAAAATGAGCAGACTATTAAAAGTGTGGGCTCCAAATTCCTTGTGTGTATGTTCCCTAATTTTAGAAAGAAGGTTTAAAATGAAAGCACCTGACCCTCTCAGACCTTTTAGGATTCCTGTACCTATCACACGGAATGTGCTGGACAATTACAAAATTCTCTCTCAGTTTGAAATGGACATCCAAGGCCATTCCAGTCCGTTCAATATTTATGTGGCACTTAGTGACAGGGCGCTTAAGCACTTTAGAAAGGCTAAGAGAACTAATTTTTAGAAGAGGCGTGGCCTCTAAGAATGAGAAGTCTCCAGGAGGTCTGAGTGGTGATGGGGAGATAAACATGGAGACAAGGGAATCACAGTCTAAGTCAGTGATGAAGAGAGACCTTTTCTATAGCTACCAGTGGAAATTTTCTATTGCTGTGACAACCAATGTATTTATTAACCACATCTACCCAGATTAACTGCTTCTTTTTGTTCTACTTTGTTATGGATGGGAAATAGATTGTTCAGAATAAAGGTCAATTTTAAATTGGACCCAACCAGATCAAAAATTCCTTAGTGGAAGAAGGTCCCAATGTGTATATGGCAACACTGGGTACAAAAACATTCCAGCCCTGTTCTGTCATTGGTCCCTGAAATGACTCCCAATTTTGTTCCCAGGCCTGGATTAAAGTATTGCTTGAAGCTACCAGAGAAGGCTGGGAAAGCAAGGCCACACAAAAGCGCATTCCAGTCTCAGCTCACTTGATGAGTCAAAGGCTCCCACCTGTGGGTCGGGCAGATGTGGCCTTCCTCACCTGAAGTTTTCCAGTTCAATAGCCTCAGTTGACTCTTGCCATTGACCGCGGCTTCTGTGTCCACCAGCCTTGATGGCGTGTTCCAATTTTGTCACACTATTCTGGGCACTGTCAAAATTAATGGCTGGAAGCTGCAGAAAAGATAACAATAATGAAAAGGACAAAAGCTCATATTTATTTATTATATATATGTGTATGTGTATGTATATACATACACATATACATATGTGTGTATATATATATATACACATACATTATACATCTCTCTCTGTGTATATATATGTGTGTGTGTGTGTATGTATGTATATATATATATATTTATTTATACATAAAACACTTTCTAATTTTAAAGGTCTTCATGTCGCCATAAACAAAATAAAATACAGGAAGAAATAAGCTGCCTGCAGAGTGGGTGTTTTCCATGAGAGCTGTTATTTTCTCCCGCCCACTGTTTGTGCTTTTCCTATGCATAAAACTGACAAAATACAAAAGAAATCAAATAAACCTGTTTGGGTTCCTTAAAATTCACCTGTTTTTATCATTGAAAAGAAGTCAGGAAAATTGACGATGCTTTATGACTTCCTGGCCTTTGATAGTTATTGATTTAAAAGATTGCTTTTTTACTATTCCGTTACAAAAAGCTAAAAATGATATATTATATGGTGACGTACTTTGGAGCTCTTCCATTTAAAGTGAACTCACACATTTATTATTGCAGCTTTAATTAGCTTTACAATACTCTGGGCTTATTATAGCCCTGGAAAAAGTTTAAGAAAAATCTTCATTCTCCGACCTAGGTCATATTGTCACCAAAACAACAGTGAAACCACAAAAAGTACATTTACCTCTTAATTCTTTAACAGCATTTAATTTTAATGATTTTCAAAAACTTCTAGAGCATGTTAATTGGCTCCGACCACCACTTCAAATTACTACAGAACATTTGTGTAATTTCTTTTTTACATTAAGAGAAGATCCTTATTTAAAGTCCCCTAGCATATTAACTCTTAAAGCAAAATATGAGCTTTAGTCAAACAGAATAATTCCTAAAACTCATTTCACCCACAGTTCTTTACAGAAGTGCAAGGTGCTATTCTTAGTACTCCAGTGTCCTCTACAATTTTTAATTTACAGAAAATGTATTTGCAGTTATTCATCAACCTTATAATAAAAAATAAATAGACACTCTTGTTTCCTCTTTAAAAGATTGCCAAATTGCTGTTATTATTTTTTCTGGTCATATTGGTATTGATAATCACTAACCATCTCTTAAAACACTAACCTTTTTTACTAATTATCCATGATTATTTCAAAAAATTGTTAAAATTTAACCTCATTCCTTCAACACCCACTGCGTTCAACAATGGGTTAAATACAAATATATAACAGGATTTTGCTGAGCTATTAATATTGTTTCTACTAGCAAAAATAATCTATTTATGTCTCTCAAAATATAGAGACTGCAAAGTTAAAATATATTACTAATACACAATTCTATACCCCTTTATACAAACTTCAAAACTCACTTCGTTCATGTTATTACCTTATCTATATTGCCTACATACAAGTACATTTTAATTTGTCCAGACTTTTTACTGAAAAGTAATACCATTATTGATTCTTAATTACAATTCTACCCAACACTTTTACAAGTTATTAATTGCTAACACTTGACCTTTTATTAAGTTTTTATTGAGCCTTTTATTGACTATATTCTGCCAATACAACCACCTTAACTATTGAGAAGAAAATATTTTGGGACTATGTTTAAATAAACTCCTACAGTATTACAAACATTGTATAAAGAATAATGACTATTTTTTTAAAATTAATAGCCTATTTCATAGATATATCAAAAGGCTTTTCTCCAAACATAATTGACAATCGAATGTAACTTACATGCCTTCTGTTGAAAAGCTTTCTTATATTCATGTTATAATTGATATTTTTTCTTCTTTCATTTTTGCCACTTTTCAAACAAGTGAAGCAATTAAAACATGTAATCAATAATATTTTATAAGCCTTCACAATTTTTGAGTGTACTTACACAAATTAAAATAAATAATACTCCTACATATGTTACTAAACATTTTCTTCTATTTATTCTTTTTATTACATTTCTCTAATCACCAATATGTTATATAATTAAAAACAAAAATATTAAAAATTTTTTTTACAAAAAAGGGGGAATCTGGGCTATTGCCCCTTATCGACAATTGGCTATTAATTTTTGATAATTGGTTATATTTTTTACAATTGGCTATTAATTTTCTAAATATTAACAAAGATGAGTACACCTTAGCCTAAAAACATCCAGAGGCCCGGATCCATTACCGGATCCACTACTAATGAGGGGATGAGGGTGTGCTTTTATATTTTTCAGAAAACTTTGATAAACCTGCCTGGATACCAGAGAAAAATGTCAGAGCGTATGTAACAACTCACAGCTCGAATGCAGAGTATGAGAATTCAGGGGAAGCACAGAAAGAGCCAATCTACAGTAACGAGTCGCCGTCCCACTTAGAGGTCAAGTGAAAGCTCCCTCTCATCGAGTGATAAGAGACTCCTGAACTTGTATTTTTAGCAATAGTAGCTTTACTTTCTGCTCAAGTGTGTAATGTACAGAATGCTCAGCACTGGACTTCTTTTTCCTTTTCCATCCTGGTTGCAACCTATCACAAATATGGACAAATTGGGACTATATATATACTAATAACACCTGTATATTAGGAAGACAAGAAGATCCCTATCTCCAGGACAAAGTCAATGTTATTGATTACCCTCAGATCTCTAGCATCCAGGACACCTATATGTTTTTCAAAATTTAGCAACAATATTGAATCATGTCTTTTCTTTGTTACATCATTTGTTAATACCCGTTTGTCTAATGGTTATGTAAATTTTATTCAATCTAATGCTATTTTTGAATTGGAATGTTACTTGTGTCAATTGTACTCTCAAACAATATATTGATCATAATGACTATATTGTACTTTTGGTAAAACAATAATCATTTATTATTTTCCCTACTAATATTTCACATGAATAGTTCCAGAGCTCTGGAAAACATGCTCCTAAATTATTATTTCCTCAAGTCAATCAAAACAATTTATTGGTCTCCTTATTATTGGTTCAATCATTGTTGCTTCTTTTATTGCATCTACTACTGTTTTATCTATTGTGCTTCAATCTAAAATTTAAACTGCATAATTTGTATATTACTTAGCAATGTTTAATACTTAAAGCTTAAGAAGCTATTGATTTATTGTATAAAGTCAATTTATTAGAGCAATCAGCATTGTAAGTTAGAACCCTTGAAAACAAGGTTGCGATTGCAATGTGATTATAGAATATTTACATTACCCTGCTACCCTATGATGCTTCATGAGACAAGAGACTTACCCGCCTCTTGAGGGCATGGCACAATTCTAATATTACCCTCAATATTAATACCCTTCATGATATTACTGCCAATTTTGAGCTGCTCAGTATGCTAACAATTGGCCTACGATTTTACAATATTAAATTTATGTAGATACTATGGTGCAACAAGAATTGGATCTTTTAGAACAATCAGTAATTGCATTAGGTAAACATAACAACAATTAGAAATACACTTCAATTTGAAATGTGATTATCTCTACTCATTTATCTGTGTAACTCCATATGTGTATTCAAACTTTACTAATATAACTATTGAACAAATATTAAATAAGCTCCAAGGTGCATGGCACTGTGACAATATCACCTGGGACAATAATCAGCTATCCAAAATACAACATGAAATTGCTGATTCTCGTATTGACGGTATTGATCCTAAAGATATTGCAAACAAATTGTTAGATTGGATCGGTCAACTTAATCCTTTTAAGAATGTATTAAGTTTGCTATTACATTTTTTACCTTGGCTATGTTTTGTATTAATTTTGTGTTTCCTCCTTCCCTGCTTGTTAAAATACACTCGCCATACTTTAGGTGAGATTTTTTCATTCCTTCATCTTCTCAAGTTAAATAGTCAGAGGGGGGAGACTGTTGAGGGCTTGCACTGATGGGTTTGAGGATATAGGTCATGTCAGGATGTTCCTGTTCCTGTCCATTATCTAAGAGCCCTCTGGTCAGAACGTAGGCTCTCCGACCTCTTCCAGGTGCTGTCTGTCCCTTGAGAGGATGAAGGATTTTCAATAAACCTTGAAAGATAATCGGGAAGCAAGGAGTCGACTCTGGGGGAAAACCCCCCAGTTACCGTTACCATGAGAAAAATTAATTGTTGATACTTGGCTTTTTCCACTCTGGGTTCTGTTCCCATGAATGGGGTATAATAACCCTAACCCTCAGATCAATAAAGGAAGCTTGTTCATAACTTGCTACCCCCTGGCCTGCATGATTTTTCTCTCTCTCTTTCTCTCTCTCTCTCTCTCTCTCTCTCCTCTCTCTCTCTCTCTCTCTCTCTCTCTCTCTCTCTCTCTCTTTCTCTTTTTCTCTCTTTTTCACCTCACTGGAGATTAAACATCGTAGTGGACGCAGGAGTCTGCTACACCAGAGAAACTCAGAAGAATAGCTAATAAGAGCTACAGTCATCATTTCCATAAGGCTGCATCACTTTACATACGTAAAAGTAAAGCACTTTATATATGTGATCTCATTGGATCCTCACAGCCTCGGGAGGTAGGTGCTACTGTTATTCCGATTTTACAGATGAGGAAGCTGAAGATGGAAGTGTTTAAATAAAGGACTTATCCAAGGTCCTATCGAGGCAGGATATGAACTCAAGTCTTCTTGACTCCAAGTCCAATAGTCTACCTAACACACCACCTCGATACTCCCAAAGAAGGGCCTCATTTGTAGCAAATAGAGCTGACGCCAGAAGATAAGAAAAGAAATAACACTAGAGAACTTTAATATTGAAAACTCCCCTCCACTGTCAGCACCCTCAGATCCCCATCACACCCCATCACACAGCAGGCAGGGTCAGCCAACCTCACAGGCCTGTGTCTCAGGATCCAGCTGTGGGAATACAGATTACTTTTCTCCATAACAGAGATTCAGGTCTGAATCCCACCCACAGCCCTAAGGGACAGAAAACTCTGATTCTGGCTCGCCACTTGAAGAAAAATAATCGATGGAGGGGACA